CTTTCTACTCCCGTAAAGATTTACAGCCTCGGAAACCCTGTACAGGGTCGCTATGGGTCGGACCCGACTCGATGGCACTTAACAACAACAACAACAAAGGGGGCACAGATAAAGAGGAAGGTAAGTAGTTATCTTCAAACTTTAAAAACAAGGAGGTAAGTGACTCATCATGGGAAACAGAGCAAAACACCATACTAAACTCCTGTGACACTGTAGGATAAGCACTTGACCACAAGGTCGGTTTGAACCACAAGGATGGTAGTTCAAACTCACCAGCTGCTCCTCAGAAACCCTATATAGGGTCACTATGAGTCAGAAATGACACGACAGCACTTAACAATCTTCACCTTTAGATATGAATAGCAACTTACATCTCACACCTTATAGCTTCCAAAGAGCATCCAGAAAGGTTAGCCCACTTGACTTCCCAGCGATGCCTATGCATTAGGGTGATTATATATTGTTGTTGTTAGTGCCATTGAGTTGGTTCCAACTCATAGCGACCCTGTATAGGTTTCCAAAGAGCGGCTAGTGAGTTTGAGCCACTGACCTTGTGGTTTCAAACAAAGTTGAGGTCTACTGCGTGTCCTATAGCACCACACCACAATGTATGGAATCGTTCGACGAGCTGTATGAAGCCCCCTCATACATCCAGAACTGAGCACTTCAGGGGCGCTGGTCCCCCTGGCAGCTCTCCTGCGTCTGCTCTTGCTTCCCTGCGGTCCCCCGTCAGCATGGCACTACAGTGAGCCTTCAGATCACCTTAAGCATCGCTTCGACTGCAAACTCCCTAGTGGGTCCCCTTTCCCAGACAAAAGCCGGAGTCCTTGCCCTACAAGACTGCCATTGTTAAGTTCACCGACCAGTTTCCCTGCCATGTCCACTCCAGTCTCCCTGACATCCCTGGTCACTGAGTACCACACCCCAAACCAATCATCACTATCCTCTCCTTGGCACGTCTCCCCCAGGGAGGGGCCAGCAGCCCGAGCCCCAAAGCACTCCTTGGTTGGCTTCTCTGCTTCAGTTTTTCTATAATACTATCACCATCTCATCTACGTACATTTCATGTGTTTATTGTCTAATCTTGCCATTCTTAGGATGATGTGTGGGTATGTTCTCCTAGTCCCCAAGTACCTGGCAAAAGAACTATGAATTAAAAAGACAAAAGAAAAAACCCAGAAGCATCAGAACCGCACTTAACTAGGTAACAGCAAGGGATGAATACAATTTGAAATGGAGGATGAGCACAGTTTATATTAGAAAATTTCCTGGTGGCGCAGCAGCTAAGTGCTGGGCTACTAGTCAAAAGGTTGGTGGTGAATCTATGGCTCCATAGGAGGAAGACCTAGCAATCTGTTCCCATAAAGATTAGAGACAAAACCCCCTACAGCGCAGTTCTATTCCATTACATGAGATGACTATGAGTTGGGCCAACTTGACAGCCCCTAACAACTGGAAACTGAAAGCGGATCATTCTTCCAAGCTCTACCCGGGCAGAGGACACTTGTAACAACTTGGACAAGTTTGCTCCTTTGAACTGGTAATTCCAAGGCAAAGACCAGACTAGTATCATTATTTCCCTGTAGGTTTCCAAATTAGAGCATGTGGGGCCTCCTATGATCTCTGTTTCCAACCTCTCCAGATTCTCTTTAGTTATGAGAGGACAGTTCTGTGAAGCCCTGTCACTAGGACTAAACACTCAAAACAATTCAATCTGGATTTACGTCACCTCAGAAAGTCTTTTTCTTGAAAGATGTTTCTTAAGGACAAATGCTCAAAGTAAAAGAAATTCTTTCGGGAAACATCCTCTGGCCAAGACTGAGAGAGTGACGAGGCCAGGGAGACACATTTTCTTAGCCCAGGTGAATCTGGGCAGTTTTTCTATTCCTCCAGCTTCTAATGGGTCCTTCTGATAACAGGGTTACACTGCACACAGTTGACGGACTCACTCCTTTCTGCATTTATTCCATTCTAAAACACTGACAGTCCATCTCCAAAGAACTCACTGACCTCACAGCAGAGAAACAGAAAGGAAACTAAAGAGATGCTCACTGTCTCAAAAAGAACTCAGTCTATTTGACAAGTAACACAGGTATTCAAGTAGCATAGGATTCTATATGACAACCCATTGAAGTAAGTGATATTAATGATACTGAGTTCAGATAAGCTGATGGATATGGACTGCAGCAGGATCTGCTAGAAAAGAACCAGAGTACTTGCATAAAGTATGTGACCACAGAGCTGGTGCTGGAAATGAGCACAGGGTGTGGATGAGGAGAACGGGGATTTGTAAGCAGTGGTGGAGCTAGGGGAGGCCAGGCCAGGCCACAAAGAACTATAAACTCTAAGTAGAGAACCTGTGGAGGCGCTGAAAATGTTCAGCAGAAAAAAACATCTAAACAGATGAACCAAACAATGAGTGGGTTGGGGGGAGGGTGGACTAAGAGGCTGAGGCTGGAGGCAGTAGGACCAGGTAGGAGATCACATGCATAAGTAAGGTTCCACCACGGGGATGCTATGCTGGCAGCACTGCTTAAGCAACTTAAAGGAGCCTGCTAGACACTCTTCCTGAGCAGCATACTCTACTGACCTCACCCCACCCTGATGACTATAACGCCACCTTTGCCCCCTATTGTGTTGTTAAGTGCCATCGAGCTGCTCCAACCCATGGCAACCCTGTATAGGGTTTTCAAGTGGCAACTGGTGAATCTGAACTGGCAACCTTGCAGTTCAAGCTGACCTTGTGGTCGAGTGCTTATCCTATACAGGACTCCTGTAGTAGCTCCAAATAATACCTACTACTGCTTGTTGGAAATCACCAACTGGATTGCCAGAATTACCCCCCAAAACTAGGAACAGCCTTTTGGTTACTGGCAGCCTGAGCCGGGTTCAGCAGTCATCGTAATGCCTCCAGTTCTCTCTCCCTTGTCCATTCAATTGGTAATCCACTGTGAAGAGTACACCCTTTCCACTGTGGAACATAACTTCTTTGTCTGTTAAATTATTTATGTTCACTACAAGAGGATAAAGAAAAGTAGAGATAAAACACCACCCTAAATACTTCTCTTTTGAGATAGCCAGTTACCACTGTGCTAAAAAGTCTGTCCAGACACCTCCTTGGGCATCAACACCTGCCGGTCCCCAACTTTACACACAGGAGACAGCCACTGCATGTGGTTGTGCAGTGTCAAATAAAGCCACTGTCGAACAAGCACTGGACTGCTAATCACAAGGTCAGCGGTTTAAACCCACCAGCTACTTCTTGGAAACCCTATACAGGGTCATAATGAGATGGAACCAACTCCAGGGCACTTAGCAACAAGAAACCATTTTTAAAGGATGCATTGTTCTTCATTGTGTATACTGCCCAAAATTTACTTAACTTAATCCCTTACTGATGGACATGTAGGTGCTGTTTAAGCTTGTGACATTATAAACAATCCCGCCTACAAAGCCTATCCTTATGCAAACATCTTTTTATAACTTTACATTTTGATACACATTAACCAAGTGTTTCCCAGAAAGTTACTAAATTATATTCCTACCATAAAAATTCATTCCTTCATAAAAATGCCTACTTCCTCCCAATGTTGTTGTTACTAGGTGCCATCGAGTCGGTACCGACTCATAGCGACCTTACGCACAGCAGAATGATACACTGCCCGATCATGGGCCAACCTCACTACTGTTGTCACACTTGAGTCCAGTGATGCTGCCACCTGG